ATTTATTTTTGCAAAAATATATTTTTCCTTAAAAGTAAGTCAAATTAAATTATCAACACATTTAGAAATTAAAAGTTACTTATTTTTCTATTTCTTTTTTGGTTTTTCGATTAGCATAATAGGCTTTCAGTAAAATGTATTGCAGCTGCCCAGGTGTATGACTCTCCAAACAGTGAAACTGCGAACGATTCATATTTTGTTCGAATATTCTTAAAACTGTGCGAGATGATCATTATTGCCGAGAAGTGTGAACAATAATCCATTGAGTGAAGAGTTCTGCTACACAAATAGGATCATTGGTAAGGTTTAAAAATGAGGAACACATGGCACAACCTCATTAGATAGTTAAAAAAAATTATTCATACAGGTACTGTCAACACAACACCTATCAAAGCTCCTATTTTTAAAACCCATTCGGGTAGCATTACTCAAGTCACGTGTGGCCAATATACAAAATTAATGATCCTTAATGGCACTTTCAAACAGGAAAATGCAATTACAAATCAATATTTGCATAGGACGATTAATGTTGTATAAAAAATTATCGATATACTTTTTCAAGAGCATGATTCAAAGATGTTTTACATAAGATAATTATTTATGTGTGTGGAATAAAATTTTGTACAAGATGAACAGGCGTATTTTATATCCCTTCTCTAGACCATGTAAATTAGACATATTTGTTATTTATATAAATTATTATGTAGCTTTTTTTTTTTAATATGTCCAGGTATCCACCTTACAGTGACTAAATCCTGGAATCTATACCTTGGCCCCTCAAGCTGCAGACAGGTTAAACAACAGGTTGTACCCCAAACTTACCAGTGCTCAAGAGCCTCCCCAACTAATCTGCCAAAGTGTCAAGTAAATCGTTTTCCCATCTTTGCACCTTGCATTCCAGTAGCGCTCTTGCCTTCCAGGATAAATCCTGCCTTCCAGGAGAATATCTGCTTTCCAAGAGCCTTCCAGGAATCAAACTCACGACCTCTGATCTGTCAGTCTTGAAACGCCCTTATCTTTGCCAATTAAGATGTGCCCTGGGGGACAATTATTATGTAACTTTATTATATATAAGTAATATTATTCTTTTACAGTTTGCTGCTTACAAAAAAGACAGAGTTCCAAATTACACGCGTTTGGAGAGAGGGTAGTAAGCAAGTGGCGGACCCACCTGGGCTCAGTGCTTTGGGTTTGGGGTATTAAGGCCCATTAATTTTTCTTAAGAAGAATTTATCCACTTTTGAGTTTATGGCTTAGTTAGGAAAAAATTTTAAATGCTTATTGCACACTATAATTTAAAGGACAAATTCAAAGTTCATCTCAGGTCCTAAAAACTCAAAGTTCAACCTAGATTGAATTTCGTCCGCACTGAACAATATTTCTGGATCCGCCCCTGGTAGTAAGGATGTTTTTTTTATTAGAAAAACACATTATAAGGAGAAAGGGTACAAGGTGATGCTACTATATGACTTCAAAGGGATTGTTAAAGGACAATGCTCATTTGGATAAAATTGGACTAGCGGTTTTAAGATTAGTCCATGACAGTGGTAAAAAAAAATAAATAACGCTTCTTGTGCATAATGGAATTACATATTGACCTACCTATAGATGAGGTGTCAAAAAAAGAGTGAAAGTTTTTTTTTATTTAATTAAAAAAATTTTGACTCAATCATATTTCACAACATTATGCGTATGTAAATTATTATGTACATGTATCACAATTCACTGCAAAATGTCCTCTACCAAATACTGAAATTCCCATAGTCCTTTCCCTTGTTTTCCAGCAAAGTGATGGCAATTTTCTAGCCTACTTCAGCCTGCATCTTCTTAACTCCCTTCTGATTGCAGAGTTTTAAACCAATGTTATAGGCCTTTAAGTTCAGTAACTAATATGGAGCACCCCGAAATGATGTCTCCTCTATTATTTCTTACTACTGCTCCTCCTGAAGCCTTACTGGTCATATTTTAGGACCATCAGTATTGAGTTTAAGCCAGCCTTCTTTTGGACTTCTCCGATAAACCGAAGTAGTAAATCCCTTATTCTTGTTCACTTCATTCTCCACAAATCAAATAGGCCAATCTCAGTCTTCCGATCATAAGCTTAATCCTTCTAATTACTCTCCTAGCTTTCATTTTTGACCCCGTGTTTAGCTTTATTTCGTTCTGTCCATGAGCGCTAGTTGGTGAAAGAAATATTTTGAAACCTCCACTGCCACTTTACCGGTTGTAAATGCACCCTCAACAGTCTCCTCCTGTGGACAGCATTGGCATTTGGAAGCTAAGGCAATTTCCTTTTTCCATCTGATAATCAATCGAACCATGCTATTTTTAAATCAGAGTTGACAACAACTCACATGTAAGGACCACGATGAATAAAATAATCGTGGATCCCCCTCTCCATGTGAGTGTTTGTCAATCGAGATTATCAATCTCTATTGTACAACTAGCAAAATTCTAATCTAGAACCAGTTGTTCCAAAGTTTCCAAATAAACACGAACTTTGGAAGGAAAAGGTTTATGCCAGACATTCTTAAATTATGATTTAGTAATAGCTGTAGGTCTGGTTATATTAAGGATTAAACTACTTGTACACATAAAGTGTACATCTTGATTCACATCCTCATATGTGTCAAAATTATGGCAGTTGATTGAAAAAGGTATTATCAAGATCAATGTACCAAAATTTGTTAACTCACATGGGTGTAAATCGTTGCATCGACATTTATGTACATATAGCATGGTCTTATATTTATGTAAGACTGGAAAGAGATCATATCTAATGAGCAAAGGTTCTAATTAAAGGACATCTGATTCCACAGAAATAGGTATATTTTCACCTCTTCAGGTAAATCATTGGGAGCTCAGCTCAAAGTTTTGAGTAAATCTCATTCCTTTCCCTGATTTCAGTTCACGAACACATGAATTATTAGCACACACTTGGATAACTTCATTTCAAAAGGGCAAATTAGACCTATTGCATTAAAATTGATTTTTTTTTTTCTTTGGTGCCAATAGGAGTCCTACTATGAAAAAGTATAACTGAACTGGAAATATTCAAAACTCGATATGATATTTCTTATGTTGAAATAGGCAAGTGGGAACTGTGCAATATTCAAAACATCACGATATGATGATTTTATGAATTACCAATATAACAATTATAGTTAGCAAGCAAATCCGCCATCTTTTAATTTTGTCACTGGTTGATCATCAATAGATTATCTTTTTTGTCAAATTAAAAGTTAAATTGTGTTTGGTTTTTATTTGTAACCCTATTATAGCCCTTATTTTGAATCAAAAAAAGGAAAAATAAAAGAAACTAAAGAATAACAAGAAGCATTCAAATAATTGACAAGAGAAAGGACAAAAAAAAGGAAAAATTAAGAAAATTTAAAATAACAAGAAATTAAAAAATTGAACAGTACCAAAGATGGAGATTGGGTGGGTAATTATTATTATTATTTCGTTATTCTCTGTTTTATTTTTCACTAGTATTGCATATTCTTTTATTTTACCTTTGAAAAATAGAAAAGTGAAAGAATCAGGTTTTTATAAATTAAACCTCAAAAACATCCTTGTTACATTTTACTTGAGAACTTCAAACGTAATTTTTCCATCGTACAAAAATAAAATAAAAAATTCTTATTAAACAACTAATAGCTAATTTGAAAAAATAATGCTATTTTGGAGATGATCATCATGTGATACAAAGTCCCTGTTTGATTTTATTAAAAAAAAAATGATAAAATACAAATGAAAGTCAATAGTTGCTTTTAGCCCCCGTTTGGCCCCCATTAAATTTCATTACATTACATTCCATTTTTCTCTCTTCTATTTTCAACCACACAATCTTTCATAAAATAATATTACACGTAAATCAAAAAATTTTCCTTTTTTTTCAACCAATCATTTTTCAAAAAAATACTATTTCAACCATTTTTAATTTTCCGAAAATGGGGGCCAAATGGGGGCTTTAATATACATTTATTGGAATCTACAACTTTTAACAACTTATTTCCTAAACTTTTATCAAAATATACTATAAAATCTAAGATACCGTTTGATTGCCCATGAATTCCCTAGAAAGTGGAAATTAATTTCCATCTTTTCCAAATTTTAGTGTTTGATAGCAAAACATTTCCTGGGAATTCACTTTCCATGCAAGCCTCACACGCGCCTATTTTCCTCCATGTCAAGGAATTGGTTTTCCCACCTATATGGTGGGAACGTGAATTCCAGGTTTTCAATTTATTTATTTTTTTCCTTTTTTTTGTGTTAGCAATGGAAATAAATTCTAATAATTATTGTAAAAAAATATTTTCCTTTAATTGACAATTTTCATGTAAAATAAAGTCAAATAGACATCAAAAAAATACTTTAATTTAAACATTTTTCACGTGGAAAATTATACCAATCAAACACAATAATTTACAATTCTCAGAAAACAATTCTCATCAATTCAATTCCCTGGAATTCGTTTTCTTTCCACCCAAATTCCACATTTGCAATCAAACGAACCCTAATTTTTATCTAATCCAAGCACAGTTTAATTAATGAATAAGATATAAACTCCATAAAAATGAAGGAGAAAACTTGTTGTCCAGGGCTCGTGGCCCCCGGATGTTCAGGGCCCATGAGGCCCCCACCTATAGGCACGGACGTCCGGGCCCATGTGGCCCAGCACGTGTAGCATCTCTCGAAAATGAAACCACCTTGTCAAGATCATGCAATGGACCAAAAATATAGATTCTCTAATCCTAAATTAACTCAAAGTAGACACATTCCCAAATCATGCTGTCATTTAGCCCACAGAATGGCAACACTTTTTGAAAAATAGGTAGGATTCTCAAATCCTAAATTAACAAGTAGATTCCCAGAAAAAGGAGACGTTGATTCCCACCAAAATCATGGCGTCATTTTCCCCACAATATGGCAACATTTTTTCTCACTCCCATACTCCAAAGGCCCTCCAAACCCAACTTCCCCCACTCGCCATGGCTGTAAATATGTTCTCATGCAACGCCATTTTCCTCTCACCTTCCATAAATTCTTGCGACCACGTCACTCGCCACTGCCGTGTAATGATGCCCACATCGGCGATGTTTCGTGTTCTTATAGACATTTTCACAGACACAAGCAACTCACAAATTTGCTTCAAAGTTTAAGGCCCCTTTTGATCTTTCTCTTGTTCTCTCTGTAGAATTTCTAGTATGGGCTCGTTATCTGCAGTTTATGAGCAGATTAAGTACCCTTCTGCTCGACGTGATGAAGATGTTGTTGATGATTATCACGGTGTATTGATTCCTGACCCTTACCGATGGTAAATTCTTGTGAATTTATTTTATTGTTTCAATTTGTGAAAAAACAGACCTTTAAATTTAGCAGTTTAGAACTGAGACTTGGTGTTTAGGTAGATAATTTCTCAAACAAGAAAACATTCATTTCTTGTGAAACTTTAGTTCTGTGAAAGTGAGAATTGAATTCCATGCCAAGGAAAATTGTTAAAATCTTTTAAAACTATATTATGGCTGAAATCTTGGAAATTATGACTTCTTTCCCCTTTGTTTAGCTCTCAAATTTCCTAATTGTAGAAATACTGGTTCGATGGTTTTTGATTAATGTGATTAGGCTTGAAGATCCAGATTCAGAGGAAACCAGGGAGTTTGTGGAAAAGCAGGTGGAATTAACAGATTCCGTGCTTAAAACATGTGAAACGAGGGAAAAGCTGCGCCAAAAAGTTACTGAAATGTTTAATTTTCCGAAGTATGATACTCCATTTAGGGCCGGTGATAAGTTCTTTTACTTCCATAACTCCGGTTTACAACCACAAAAAGTCCTATACGTTCAGGTACTTGTCAAGATTTGATTTTTATTTTATTTTTTCTAAGTTTTTTAATTATTTAACAATGGATTTGGAATTTAATGTGATGTGTTATAGGATAGTTTGGATGGACAACCAGAGATTTTGCTTGATCCAAATACACTAAGTCAGGATGGCACTGTGTCATTGAGTATGTGTTCAGCTAGTGAGGATGCCAAGTACTTGGCCTATGGCATTAGTTCGAGCGGAAGCGATTGGGTTACCATTAAAGTTATGCGGATTGAGGACAAGAGTGCTGAGCCTGATACTGTTTCATGGGTAACGTTTATGAATTGGTAGATATTGAGCATGTTTGGTTAGGCAAAAAAATTTTTAAAAAATAAAATAAAAGAACTTTTACACAAAGTAAAAACGTGCTTTAAAAAAATGCTTCCTCCATTCCCCAAAAAATAGTGTCTCCATTTTCACACAGATTAATAAAATATAATTAATATAGTTAAAGCAATAAATTTTACTTACATCTTTTCTAATATACTCCTGCATTGAATAATGGTTTAAACAAGAGTAGGTCATATTTGTAGATAACAAGGCACATAAGGGTTTGTTTAAGTCCCATTTAACAAAAAAAAAAAAAAGGATTCTGTAATAATGATTTTTTGGAGAATGTGTGGAAATTGGTTTGAATTTTCGTATAAAATTATTTTTTATTGGGAGAATGTGTAGTTGAAAAGGAGTTTAGGAAAAATGAATTTTTAAAGAATGTGGCTCAAACATGGGCTTATTAGAAAACTAAGAAATCAAGTGGCCTATAATTTGGCAAATGAAAAAGAAAGCAAACCTATTTTTATTGGACAGAGGGAGTAGTATGTTTTTGTAACATATTTCATGAAGCGTGCTTGGGACAAGTTTTTGGTTAAGCTTAAAATTTACCTTCTTACCTTAGCCAAACATGTGAGGAGCTATTTCAGATACACTTTTGTGTTGCTTAGCTTGTGTTTGGGATTCACAAGTAAGCATGATACATCTTGTTGTTTAATACAGGTGAAGTTTTCTAGTATTAGTTGGACACATGATAGCAAAGGTTTTTTCTATAGCCGTTATCCAGCTCCGAAGTAAGTGATGGATCTTAGTGATATCCCATTTGAATTTGCATGACTCATAAAAACTTTTGATTCTAACTATGTATTTAATTTTTCACTGAAAGATATTGTATTTGAAAAGAAAAATAAACATTTTGTCATTGTTTGCATATTTTATTGAATGAATGTGAACAGGACATTTTCATTCTCAAAATTTGGTGCTCTTTTGTTTTATAAACAACGTGCCATGAAAAATGAGGCCAAAACTTGGAATCTTTTATTCTATGGACTTGGAAATAACGTTACTGAGCTTTTTAAACTTTGGTGATTGCAATGGATTCCTGGAAATAATTGGTTTTTAATGAGAAGTTCATCTTGGATGGTATGTATTTAGGGATGGAGCAAAGTTGGATGCTGGGACAGAGACGAGTGTTAATCTACACCATGAGCTGTATTATCATTTTTTAGGCACGGATCAGTCTGAAGATATCTTATGTTGGAATGATCCTGACCATCCTAAACATACACGCACAGCATCAGTGACCGAAGATGGGAAGGTACTAAATTCAACTGGGTTAAACATTGTTAAGAATTGCTGATAACAGTATGATTATTTTTCTTCAATTCTCGATAGCTTATCGTTAACTTATCACCAAAATGAGGAAAACTAGAATGCTACATATTGATGAATTGTGTTGGAGTAATTAATTTACATGAAAAGTCAGTACTTCTTTACGATAGTCTACTATTTGGGGAAATTTAAATATCACGAAAATGAACTTGGACTCTTTCGATGTTAAAGAAAAAACACACACTTCAAAGTCATTTTAAACCGATCATGACTGATGGTTGGGAGCTGAACCAGGTATATTGGCCATAAACATAAACAAGATTCTAGACCTCATATTTAGTGTTGAATATCCTTGTGAGATTGGGCGTACACTTTTGTTCTTGGTTTCTATGAATCAGATTTCGTCTTATTTTCTGGAAACAAGAACACTGCCTGCCTTATTTAAATTTTCTTAAGTTTTATCCTTGCCCGAAAATTTTGTCTCTCTTTTCCATTTATTAATTATTATTTTTCCTTTTTCATGTGCAGTATGTTCTCTTATACACTTTTCGAAATTGTGATCCTGTCAATAAAATTTATTATTGTGACCTATCAAGATTATCTAATGGGCTGGAAGGTTTAAAGGGCCAAAAAGAACTGCTTCCCTTTGTCAAGCTTGTTGATAATTTTGATGCTTCTTATGATCACGTTGCAAATGATGACACCATTTTCACATTTCGGACTAATAAAAGTGCTCCAAAATACAAGCTGGTCCGAGTTGATCTGAATGATCCCAGCTTGTGGACTGAGGTCCTCAATGAAAATGAGAAAGATGTGCTTGAATCAGCTGTGGCCGTCAATGGAAATCAAATGGTTGTGAATTATTTGAGCGATGTAAAGAATGTTTTGCAGTTAAGGGACTTGAAAACAGGTACACTGCTGCATCATCTACCAATTGAAATCGGAACAGTATCTAGTATTTCTGGTCGACGCAAGGACAGTATCTTCTTTACTGGGTATACGAGCTTCCTTATTCCTGGTATCATATATATATGCAACCTAGACGCTGTGGTCCCAGATTTGAAAATATTCCGAGAAATTTCTGTGCCTGGATTTGACCGGACAGAGTTCGAAGTCAATCAGGTATTCATTTTCGTCTAGACTTTCATTGAAGTAGTGGATAACATGTGAGGGTTATTATTCACTGAAGCTTATGTTTAAATTCTCTATTCCATATCTATTATAATTTTATTCCTTCGGGTCCATGTTTCTAGTTCCCAGATCCAATAATATCTTTCAGGAAAAAACCAATAGTTCCCCTTATATTAAGTTCATTTGTTGGGATTAAACCAACCTTCTTTTTTATTGTTTCCTTGACTGGGGTTTTCCTTTTTCAGGTTTTTGTGCCCAGTAAAGATGGCACCCGGATACCAATGTTTATAGTCGCCAGAAAGGATATTTGCCTGGATCAGTCTCATCCTTGTTTATTGTATGGATATGGTGGTTTTAGTGCCAGTCTTACACCATATTTTTCTGTGAGCCGTATTGTGATAGCAAGACATTTAGATATTGTCTTCTGCATAGCAAACATTCGTGGCGGTGGAGAATATGGAGAAGAGTGGCATAAAGCAGGCGCGCTTGCTAAAAAGCAAAATTGCTTTGATGACTTCATTTCTGCTTCTGAATATCTCGTCTCTGCTGGTTATACCCAACCCAAAAAGTTGTGTATTGAAGGTGGAAGCAATGGCGGGCTTCTTATTGGAGCGTGCATCAATCAGGTTTTTATTTATTTTCATCTTTTTTCCCTTACATTAGTCCATTTTTTGTTTCAGTTGTTTTCAAGATTCTAAATTTTGTGATTTCAGAGACCCAATCTTTTTGGCTGTGCTCTTGCTCATGTTGGTGTTATGGACATGCTAAGGTTCCACAAATTCACAATAGGTGAGAGTAAATTGTAAACGCTGCCTTTTTTGCTTTATTACTTTCTGTTTTGTTCGTCACATCCTACTTCCACACCAGGCCATGCATGGACATCTGACTTTGGCTGTTCAGAGAATGAGGAAGAGTTCGATTGGCTAATCAAGTGAGTTGTTACAGCTTCATAAGGGGAATGTCCTTCCGCTTTAGGCTGTCCTGTTGCTCTAGTGATTTCTTTTTTGAAAATTTCGCAAGAATTTTTAGTTGATCATAATTGAAACGCATGTGGTTCTATCCTACTTCATTCTCCTCCATCTTAAAAATGAAAGCAATATCGTTATTTCAACTTTCCAGTTAGATGGTGTTTTGTGCAAATTTATCCTGTCCTCATAATTAAATTTATAACTTCTGTTATGTAAATGGTCTGTATGTAATTGTTTTCACTTCTTTTGCTGCTTAATTGTTTTCCTCAGGTACTCGCCCCTGCATAATGTCAAGAGACCATGGGATGATTCTGCTGATAAGGTCACTCAGTATCCATCCACCATGTTATTGACAGCCGATCATGATGACCGGGTTGTGCCACTACACTCTTTGAAGTTACTGGCAGTGAGTATTAAATTATTTATAATTAACTTTTTTATCTTCGTAAATTGTCTCATCTTTGGCTTGATATTCATTCCTGATAATTGATTCTGTCAAAACGAACTCGATTCTGTCATCATTGGCCATCTTGTTAAACTGTTCTTTTTGTCTGTCTAGACCATGCAATATATTCTATGCACAAGCTTAGAGATAAGTCCTCAAACGAACCCGATTGTCAGTCGCATAGAACGGAAGGCGGGGCATGGATGTGGACGTCCAACGCAGAAATTGGTAGATTTCTTAATCTTTCGACTTCCACTTTCTACGCCGGAATAATGTTTATACTAATAAATTGTGTCTCAGATTGACGAAGCTGCGGACAGATATGGGTTCATGGCAAAGATGCTGGACGCATCCTGGATTGATTAGAAATGCTAATGACACTGAATGAGCTTGCTTTTGGATTGCAGTTTTGGCAGGGTCAGGTTATGTTAGAGTAGATGGTGTCCTTTTTCAGGGTGCACAGGGTCCTGTAACTAGTACAATAAATAAGATTTTAGGTTATTTTCTTTTCAAAATGTCGTTGAATACTGTATAATCTATTATTACCGAACATGTCATAAATGTTCTATATTGACTTGTACCATTCACCAAATATCAACTTACGGAAAGGGTAGAAGAATGGACCTATCAAGGGACATTCGATGTACCATGTAAATTGTTTTAATGTGTCTTTTGGAATGGACAAAGTTTTCTTGATCTGCCGGCCATATATATCTTGCAGGCCAGATCTGTTTCAGACAGCCTGTGTAAATATGTTCCAATAGATCAAATTTAGTCATCTTTCAGTTTATATATGATTTCAAAATTCAGTTGAAGTTGCATTCATATCAAGTTTGGTCACAAAAAAAAAAAAAAATAAAGTAATGCAAACCATCGAGTGAACATTCAATGATTCAAGTCTTAGCAGATAGCCATCAAACCTTTCAAAATTGGACAACGGAAGTACGTTTGGAAGGTTTCTGTCCAAAAATAAGTTAGTTACCATCAACGTCTGGTCATAATTTGATCAATTTTTAAAATGACAAAATGATTTTTTAAAATTTTGCCTTTTTAAAAATATCATTTTGCCCATTTTAAAATTGATCAAATGCCAACTTTTGTTCAATTAATGGATTTTTGGATGAAAATTATTCAAATGTACTTTTGCTGCTCAATTTCGAAAAGTTTGGAACCTATCTACTATGATAAAAAGGTTTGAGTATATGTACTTTTTGAAAGGTTTGGAAGCTTTGCCACAAATTACCTTTATTTTATTTCCTTTTAACAATTGAGTCCTTTTACTTTTTGGTATTTTGAGTAGAAAAAACCCAACATCATTATATTATTAATTTCTTTTTAAATCAATGATATATCTACCAAAACATAAAAAAAAAAAATACACGTCAATAACACTCATCGACAATAAATTATTACCAGTGATTGGTTACCAATGAGATGGTGGGAGAAAACAACATTTAGAAATTTAATTAAACGGTAAAATTTTAAAAAAGGAAATTACACACAAATCTACTTTTAACTTCTCGTTTCAATAGTCAGGTACATTAATTTATCTTTCAAAAATTAGGTGGATCCACACCCACCTCCATACCACCATCACCACAACCCCACCAACGCATTTCACACCAATGCCAACACAACAAAGATGTTGCCCTCTGTCTACCATATGTGTATCTGCTCTCTCTCTCTCTCAATTGGCTCAATTGGTTGATCTAGGGAGACTGGGCTGTGCTACAGCCCATCTCCAAGCCCAATTCACAATTAAAAAAAGGAAAAATTACCTAGAAACCTACATTTAAAGACTAATTTTCAAAAATAAGAATGATTAATTTTCATTTCACAAATCAGGTGTTAATTAGATTTAATAATTATAATTAACAAAAATTTAATTAAACCTACATACCCACTGCCCATTTCACCCATTTCCTTCCCAAATCCAAGCTCCAGATATTTTCATTTTCCGACCTCTCTCTCTCTCTCTCTCTCTCTCTCTCTCCAACCAACCACCCAACCATTTTCCTTTTCGGCACAGTGAAACCCATTCCATCCTCATTTCTTTTCCAAATCCAAACCCCAGATATTTTCATTTTCTCACCTCTTTCTTTGCCCTATCGTCTCTCTCTACCACCACCCACCCAACCATCTCTCTTTTCGGTGAGTGAAGTATCACCGAACGCTAATAATATTGAAAGCAGTGATAAACTTACAGGTGGTGGTGGCTGTGAGTGATTGGGTGGTGGAGATGAGCTCACGGGTGGTGGTGGAAAGAAAAATGATTTTGGTGTTGGATTTGGTGATGAAGGAGATGGAACCGGCATAGCTTTATCAAATTGTTGGTGATTTTTGGTTTTTTATCAGATCTTTTGTTTAACCAGAGTACAGTGTCGGTGATTTTCTGATCTGTGGTGATTTTGTTGTTGGTGGTTATGGTAAGGTAGTTCATATTTGGTAAGGTGGTCCATATTTGGTTCGCTGGTGGTGGTGTAGGCTGTGATTGTTTTGTGGTTAGCTATGATGGTTCTATGATCAGTTGTGACTTGATATTGACCTGGTCACAGATAGTCACACTGAATACAATTTTGGTCACAATTAGTCATACCAAAGACAAAGTTGGTCATGGTTAATCACAAGTCTGCAGTGTGTGTAGATTTGTTTGTAGTGACCCTATGCGATCAAGAACGTGTTTGTGGTGACTGTTTGTGACCAATTTTATGTTGATTGTGATCAGTTGTGACTTGAGATTGATCTGGTCACAGATGATCACGCTGAATACAAATTTGGTCACAGTGTCGGAGTGGTCATTAAAGCAGTTTGTCGGAGGGTTAGCCAAATAGCCGCCAGAGCGAGCGTCGGAGCTACCGTCGAAGTGATGGCCTGAACTCTTGCCGGAGTGATTGTTGAAAATGCCACCGAAGTGATCGCCGAAGCCAATGGCCGTCTCCGGTGGAGAGTTGAAGGGAAGGTGGTGTAGTGGGGTAATAGGATGGGGTGGGTGAGGTGGCATGAGTGGAAATAATTAATGTATATTATATTATATTTTAATATTTAATAAATTTATTTACCACTTGATTTTTAAAATATATTAATGGGTTCGTTATTTATGAAATGTGATCTTTAAAATTAGGAGTCATGTTAAGATCCCTTAAAAAAAATTAAGTTAAAAAACATTTTGACCCCATTTGAGCCACATTAATATAGAATAAGAATGAAAAATATAGTCATTATGGACTCCATATAAGAAATAGATTTTCAAATATGGTGGCTCAATGTGATGAATAACAGTCATATTTTTTCATTTTAATGAGTGAATAATGGAAAACAAACAGGGGCTTTATGTGTGAAATTTTTTATTTTGTATTTTCATTTTTATTTATTTAATCTTTTCTTTTTTGCATATTAGTCCGTACTAAAATTTTACCGCCATTTGCCCTGACGTCCAGCCACTGTCATAGAAAACCATCCACCGCCTTTTCCTCTTTCAACCGGTAGAGATCGACACAGAATCAAATCCTAATCGCAGTGGACAAAGAACCCTAACTCAAGCCCCGACCAAAATTCCAATCGCGGTAGTCGAGTTGAGAGATGGGCTGTGGTGCAATGATTGTGTGGTGGTGTGAATCCGTATGATGGTGATGTAACGTTTGGTTGTGGTGCGACGTTGTGTTTGTGGTGGTGCAAATATGCATAGTGGTGGTGGTAGTGCAAATATCAATGGGTAGTGGTGGTGCAACAGTGGTGGTTCTGGTATAGTGCTGGTGCATTGTTGCTGGAGTGGGGGCAACAATGACAGTCTCTCTATGGTTGTCAGAGGTAGCAGTGCATAAGGGTGGGTGTTGCATAAATTGAAAGGAACCATATTCATAAAATCCTTTCATAAAATCATAAATTCCATGTTGAAATCAAAGAGACAACGAAAAGTGCGAAAACATACCTCGATCCATGAATCTGACTGCTTTAATTGGGTTTTGATCTTCCAATTGATACGTGATTTTCCTTCCTTTGTTTTTTTGAAAAGTCTCTGTTGATGGGGATGCAGAGATACCATAAAAAATCTCATTCAAATTGGGGACCATAACCATTTATTAAAATAACTGCAATTGGCAATTATTAACTTTAAGTTATTTCAAATCGGCCCCTCATCAATTCAAAATAACACATTCTGGTCTCTACACTTTAATCCCATAAAATTTAATACCCATTAGTCCAAAATTAAATCCAATGAATCACTTTATCGACTATATTTACTTTAAAATAGCACCACACATTCTAATAAATGTACATGTGTGGCCCCAAAGTTGGAATTTTTTCCAACAATCTCTCACTGGGCCAAACATGTTACATTATAAATGTGCACAGACTTATGAGCTCAAAATTGTACTATAGTTATTAAGGATATTTCCAAACAATCTCGTCCATCAGTTACATCGATGTACGATCAAAGCAATTTTTGTCACATTTAGCGTGACTAAATCCATCAATGGTCACGTATACCCATACAACCAAATGACATAGATCAATTATGGGAGTGTAGCATGGAAATTACATGTTATGTGATCCGAACATGTCTATTTCCAACTGGTCCAATCTTATTTCTTAAGTGAGATCAGTACTGAACATAATAATAGAGTGGAATGAACTGAATACTTTATTTCTGTACAGAAAATATCCAAATACATAAATGTGTTCAAAGAACTAAACATATATAAAGCAATAAGAATACAAACTCCCACTAAAACATGATATCACCAAAAAGTACAACACCCATATGAGCGGTGTGCTCATGAAAGACCTTGGGTGGTAATCCCTTAGTAAGCGGATCCGCAATCATGGGGTTTGTTCCAATGTGCTTTATAAAAATCTGTCCACTCTGTACTCTTTCCTTCACAACCAGGAATTTAATGTCAATATGTTTTGACTTAGATGAGCTCCTGTTGTTGTTAGAATATAGAACTGCTGAGTTGTTGTCACAATACAACTTTAGTGGTCTTTCTATGCCATTCAGAATGCGCAGCCCAGTGACAAAATTTCGCAGCCATATTCCATGATTAGATGCCTCATAGCATGCTACAAACTCTGCTGCCATGATAGAAAAAGCTATGAGTGTCTACTTGGTACTCTTTCAGGAAATAACTCCTCTAGCTAGCAGATAAATATAACCTGATGTGGATCTTCTACTATCTTGGCATCCAGCAAAATCAGAATTGGAGTACCCTATGATCTCTAACTGATCCGATCTGTTATATGTGAGCATATAATCCTTTGTTCTCTTTAGATACCTCATAACCCTTTTGGCTGCCTTCCAATGATCCATCTCAGGGTTGCTTAAATATCTGCCTAGCATTCCAACAATAAATGCTATGTCTGGACGTGTACATACTTGAGCATACATTAGACTCCCAATAACTGATGCATAGGGGATCTTTTGCATTTCCTTAGCTTCAAGGTCATTTTGCGGGCACTGTTTGAGACTAAATTTGTCTCCCTTAGCGACAGGGGTGTCACTTGGTTTACAGTCTTACATGCCAAACCTCTTAAGTATTTTATCGATATAGATCTTTTGTGATAATCCAAGAATACCTCGAGAACGATCCCGATGTATCTGAATCCCTAATACAAAAGAGGTGTCACCAAGATCTTTCATCTCAAAATTCTTTGATAAAAATCTCTTGGTTTCGTGCAACATGCCTATATCGTTAGTGGT